TTCAGCCACGTCGTGTTCAAGAAAAAAAAAAAGAATAGAAAGGGAAAAGCCGAATATGGAAAGAAACTAAAAGATGAAATGTTAGGTCCACCTAAAATCTAATATAATTGAAATGTGACGAGAAATAGAAAGAAAGAGAAGCTTGCATGGTTCAAATTTCTCCATTGCCATTTATCGTACAGTATTTTATTTTACACTACGTAGTGTTCAGAATTATATATAATTTATGTGTATATTATAGAGTAAATAAAGGAGTTTATAATTTAACTTTTTTTCATATATATATATATAATGTTTTGGGTGTGAGATCAATTTCCGATGTTTAATTACCGACATATTGTCTAAATTGTTTGAATAGTATTTATAAAAAATACTTCTTATTAATGTACTGATGCATGTGTTATATATTTCATGCTCGCCGCTATGAATAGTTGATACCCGCGAGAAATAGGTAGCGAGTAATAGATCTACAGGTAATGAGAATTTAGTACTTACTTATTAACTAGTCGGATTCAGGTATCATACTACATGTACCCGTTAGATATTCATTACGCATTAAGAAAATGAAATTACATTTGTATCCTTATTAAGTTTAAATTGTTATTGAGGTTTTACCCAAAAAATATTTTTTTTCTACTAATAATTCATAAAACACCATCAAGCAATTACAAATATTTCAAAAAATAGAAATAAAAAATTACATTATTGTAACATATAAATGTCAAAGTTACTTCCAATGTATATAAATCTTTGCGTTTTCTCATCAAACTCATTCATTAGAGGACATAGGAATTAGAGAGATATATACCCTTGTGCTTTTCCCCAACAAACTCATTATTCATTATATGGTATAAGAATTGGAAATTCACACATTTAACATATCTCATGCATACATATATGTGACCTTTGCACTCTTTTTCTAAGTGAGGTTGTTGGTTTTTTCTCATATAGTTTAGTATTATAACCAAACTTCTCCTTCAAGATTCTATCATTTACGGCCTGAAACTTATTTTGTTTTCTTGTGAGATTATTGTCACTCAAATAATTATTTAAAACTTTATAGTTTTGCTTCTTTCTATATTATCTTTATTTCTTACAATTTAATTTGAATATCATTTAAAAACTCTCTCGTAAGCATGAACAACTTCCCATGAGTTTGGTAAGCCCTCTAATTAGAATTTTTTTTAAAGGAGATTTACATTTAAATTTAGAACTATCAATGAGTTAAAACTCGTGAGTCAATTTAGCCACTACAGGTTCGAGTCGTATTGGATTAAAAAGTTACAAATTTTGACACGGGTTAAAAGTGAACTTGACTGATTAAGAACTCGACTCATCCGAATTGAATCTGTAATGAGCCAAATTGACTCACAACTCATGCATAAATTCTAAACATTAAATTATATTAAACAGAAAAAACTATTATATTATATTTTTGTAATTTTGAATAGTATTTAAAGTTTTAACATCATTTTGGACTATACGTAGATTTAAATTAACTCACTAAGTGACTAATCTATGATAAGACAAATCGAGTCGGATGACCATTTTTTACAATCCTAGTAAAAATCCTATGTAGAAAGCATGAAATATCTTACTAATTAACATTGACATCAATTATAAATATTAGGAGATAAATAAGATCCACAAACGACCATTTTGGAATTTCATTATGATTTTATATATTAAGGCATTCAATAGTGTTGTCAAAATATGTTGTAACCCACGAGCCAACTCAACTCACCACGAGTTTGAGCCAAGTTGGGTTTAAAAGAATGTAATTTTTTTATGCAGACTAGTTTTCAACCCGGCTTACTTAGAACCCGACTCACCGGGTTGAACCCAACTCACTTAGAACCCGACTCACCGGGTTGAACCGGTGGTGAGCCAGTTTGGCTCACCAACCTACCTAATTTAATTTAATTATTTATTGTTTTGTGTTTTAATATTATTAGTTAACATTTTTTTATTATATTATAGATGGTGATAAAAAAAATGTTTCAAGAAAGAAAAATATTGTAGATTTATCTATTCAAAGTTCTAATATTATAAAAGGACAAGTGATACAAAAATTATCAATATTAAAAACTTATTTATTCGTCTTTTATACATGTTTTTGGAGTATGCTTGAATTGTATGATATTTTTTTTATTTTAAATTATCTTTGGAGTTTAACATCATTTTAGTATAATATTTATTTATATTTGAATTAAAAAATATTTTATTTTTTTATTTTAAAAAAAACTTATAATTAAATAAGCCAGTGAACCAATCCGTTTAACCCACCAACCCGTAATGGATCGAGCAGAGTTCAAATTTTTTCAACTTGCTAATAGGTAAACTGGGTTATATTAGCTACCAACCGTGGTGAGTGAGATTAAAACTAACTTAAATTCAAAAACTGTTTTTAAATCATTACCAATATATCCCATTTCAGAAACTAACTTTTGAGATATAATTAATGTTATTCAACTTTAGTCCTCGGGACGAGTTGTCTTTAAAAAAGAAATACAAAAACGCTAACGAAACTAAGACAAAAAAGATTGAAGGTTGTAGATAAAACCAGTTGATACACTTAGTCATTTTTTTCTTCCAATATCTACTTTCGTTTACTCTTAGATAATTTATTTATTTGAACACTTATCTCAGCCTCGTTGTGATAACTTTTTTTCTTCTGAAATCAACAGAAGATCCCTCAACGTCTAGGGATGTATGCTACTTCTAATTGATTGGTTTATAACAAATAACTAAATAATATCTATATAGACACAAGAATGAGAGAACTGCAAGTGTTTGGATTTTAATTCGGAAGTCAAAAAGAGAGGAATACGATGGCAAAAGAAGAATTAGTGACTGAAAGTGAACTTTAAGCCTGAGTTAACCCTACAAAACAAGTTTATAAAATAAGGTTTTTACCAACTTATAATTTTAAATTGACCTTAGTTTTAGTCGATGTAAGAATTCCAACATATTCATAAATATAGAAATAGGAGAAATGGATTGCAGGCAGAAAACTCGAGAAAAAAATGTGATCAACATAACGGTAGAAACAAATATCTACACCATGACTGGCCTTGTATCTTTATACAGTTGGTGCAATCTGGAATGGTAAGATAAAAACAATTGGTGTAGCAAATATTGGTTGTTTGCCATATAATTATTAATACCGTACGCATATAATAAAAATTTAACATTTCAATCATACGGTAGAACCCTATAAAACCACTATGATTGGCAAGCATACCAATTAGCACAGTAATATTCAATAAGTAAGCGATAATCTCCATGGAGACTCGCACACACCGTTCACTAACTACAGTCATGAGAAATATGATTTCAATTGATTTGCTAGAATTTAAATAAAGAAATAGATCAATAAGCAAAAATGATGATGTAAAGGTTATAAAGGTATTTTGTAAAACATGTGGCAAGTAGCAAAACACGAATTGACCATGGTAATAACATGTTATTGTTTAATCTTACCAAACCCTTTCCCTGTGCAGTAAACCAGTTCTAACAAGTTTACAGTTCACTTTAGCATCAATCCATAATACATCCAAACCTAATGCCTTCGTGAGAAAGCACAAGTTTTTAAATTAAATTGTAAATCTCTTGAATGGCGAAACCAAACAACTTGCATTAAGAATAAGGGTTTTTCAAAAAACTACTAAAGTTTTGCTGTATTCCTAGATGGAAAACCTATTAGGTACTCTTCATCAATCAAGATATAAACACAATTTTCAAACCATAAGCCATGTAAAGGACATCAACTAAATACAAACAAAAGAATGAAATCTGATAAAGAATACTAAATCTAGACTAAATCTTAGAGTAGATGTATAAATGATGAGTGCATATTTATACCTTTATTTGGCCTTTAATATTGGATTCTTAATTGAATTTTGTACTCTAATAGAATATTTTAATTAGGATTTGTTATAATTGAGTTTATTTAGGATGAGATAAAAAACATGTTAAAAATAGTTTTTTAGTTGCATAAATACTCTTTGAATATTTTAAAGTGTGTTAGTGCAGCTCCAACTAAGTTGAGCTCATTGAGTTGTGAAAATAAATTGGTTAAAATTTCATGACACTTTAAAGATAAATCCAAGAATAGCAAATAATCAAGACTACAAGGAGTCTATCCAAGCATAACATGAAAAAGTGAAGAAATTTGGTTAAGCCAAGAAGAGAGAACAAACAACAAAATTTGGATCTTACAGTTTTCTCTATTTTTTCTTCTAAAAGGGATTTGATAATTGATAAATGTTTATGATTAAAGATAATTTGGAAAATATATATCTTAAGATATTTTATTTGATATTGTTAAATAATTACCTTATTTAACTATCAATAAATATCAAAAGATAATATTTGTCAAATCTTTTTTAATCTAACAAATATTTTCTCAAATATTTTTAAATCTCCACAACAATCAAATATATCTTAAAGATATTGTATTATTTAGAAGATAATGGAAGGAGATTAGGTTATCATAAAAAAGATTATAACAACATAGAAACATGAAAGAAAGCCCAATCCAATTTCTATATAAAGAGGCCTAAGAAAACACATTAGGGAAGTTAAGGAATAAATTTGTTTGTTCTTTTTATTATTGCTGTAATTTATTTTTATCTATGTCTTTTACTTTTTAATCAAGTAAAAATAATGATTTTTACATTATAGCAAGTTAACATGGTCTTAAATTTACGTAACATATCAATCATAAGTCCAAGAGTTTTTAATTTTAATTGAGAATTTATTTTGATTAAAGTTAACATGATAGTGCAATTGCATCAGTATTTTTTAGTCATCCCAACATCAATGACTAGCTACAGACAAGAGTGGTTTTTGCAATCTGGTTAAAAACTTCTCAAAAAATTTTGTGCTTTTCTACTAAAAACACAATAAATGGTGAAAAAAAAGCCATTATGAAAGGCTTTTTCTTCAAAGTATAAAGAAATGGACCTCAGTCATGCCATACTGAAACTACTGTTCTATAATTACGAAAATTATATTTCAACAAGTTCGAAAATTATGGGAATTGAACATCAATGTGATTATGAAAAAGCTTGCTACTTGTGGAACTTACAAAAATATATAACTAAAGATGTTGGGTATCTAGTAAGCAGCTGTATTAAAAAAGAACACATGTTAGTTTCTTTGACTGATTAAAAAATGGTCTTATCTTCTTAGGTACGAAAAAGTTAAACTTGTTTACTAAGGAAAGGATTACCAAGAATGAAATCAACTTCCAGGTTACTGCTTCACCTCCAAACTTTTCAGCCTGAACACATTCACAAAACAAGAATTATTCTTAGGAGGGAAAACTGCTCAACTTGTAACAAGCAATCAGGAAAACGTAATGGAGCAGATGTTACCTACAAAGTGAAAGCTTTAACAATGGAACGTGTCTCATCATCCATCTCAATCTTATCTTCATCCATCATTTTAAGGATATGTAAAGGTGGTTTGTTGGCATAAATGTGCATTCTTAGCAATATTTTATACAATGGTAAACTAGCAAGACCAAAATTATTGATATATGTAATATAATTGTTTGCATATTCAAGATTCCCATCTTTCTCCAAAATCTCCGCAATGGCCAGCACAAGTTCATGTGGTGGCCTCCAATGACAATTTTTTGTCATAGCCAAAGCTTTTTTCATTGCAATAAAAGCCTCGTCTATTTTTTTCCTATTCACGTATCCTTCTACAAGAATTTCCATTGTCTTATAGTTTGGACAGCCACCCTTTTGCAACGTGTGGAGATGTAATGATTCAGCTTCTTCCATTAATCCATCCCTCACATATGCACCCAAAAGAACATTAGAGACTCTGATATCATACTTCTGACAATTAGATTCCCATTCTGAGAAGACTCTCTCGGCTTGCAGAATGTCCCCGAGCTTCACCAAGGATGTTAGTATGCAAATGTAGTTAGCACAACTGATTCTTTTATCAACTGCCTTACTAGCTTCCCATAACCGCAAGACTCCCTCCTTATCCTTCAAAGAAGCATATAGTGTTATGAGGAAGAAGTAACCGAAGTGATTACAGGTAGTCAGTTTCTTTTCAGCATCTTTGAGAACCAGAATGGCTTTCTTAGGTTGCCCTGCTTTCTTGTAAACATTGGCCAATGTAGCAAGACTACTCCATCCCACTTCAACGTTCTTGTCATTTTGCATTTGTCTAAAAACTGCCTCTACTGTTGCAATCCCATATCCTTCTTCCTCACTATAGGCATTCATCCAAAGATTGTAGGAGAGAACGTTGCAGGGTATTTTATTCCGCTTCATTTGCTGGATAACAAGGGGCACCTTCCTGTACTCACAGGTCACTAGATACAGCTTCATCATCTCATTAAAAAGGTGAGGACTCACCACTAGCCCCAACTCATAGAGCTTCACCATTAAAGCCTCAGCCTTAGTAGTATCCCTATATCTTACATATCCACAAAGAAGTGTGAGACAAGCCGCCTTCTTTGTAGCCGAGTCGGGTAGATTCATAAAATATTCTTCAGCTTCCATTAAACCATAATTTTCAATGATTAACTCCAATTTCATAGCATGATCAACTGGGATCATACGGAAATTCTTCTGATTTTCTATCCACTTAAATAACTGTAAAACAATAATTGACAAATTTCAATTGCTAATCTAATTTACTATACACTGTCTCAAAACCTAATTGCATTGTAACGACATGCTTGCCACAGAATGAAAGAATCCCTTATCGGAAAATGTCGGTTATGAAATGCCTTGCACAGTAAATCCTTGAAAGTGGAGCAAAGTGGCTGGCCCAAAAGCAGTAATGGTACAGTGGAATGCAGAGCAGTCAATGCAAAAATAGAAGACTTAATGCAAACAATTTATACTATATGCAGACTAATGCACTTTAAGACATTCTCACCCCTAATTCTCAAAACGCATTATTTAAAAGGCACAATCATAGTTAACCTATGGCATTATAAAAACAATAAGTCAATACAACAAGAGGCATGACAAATAAAGAATGCAGCACCAAATCAATTGCTAAATAAGTTTAGGCCTCTAAGGCATAACCTATAGATTCGATGCCTAAAAACAAATATAAGCAAGAATTATCCTTATTTTTCAATCAAACTCATCATCTCCAATATATCTTGAGCTTTCTTAAAGATTATTGCTATCATCAATAATATAGTCATATCTCATCCTCTTTCTTTTCATTTCTCTCCACTTCTACATTTTGCGCCCCTTTTTTCCGCTCCATCTTCAATAATATCCCCTGCCCTAGAGCTTCAATGCCTCGAAGTTGCTCTCTTCAATTTTGTTTGAAGTTTAGTAAAGGTTGTACCCTCCCTAGCCCCAATTATGTGAGCAAAAACTTCCCAAGACAAAAGTATTTTCACAAAAACCCAGCTCCTCTTTATCAGTGTCTCCGTTCCACCCATTTCTGCAACCGGTCACTCATAATAACCGTAAACAATGTCATTTATTAGAATGGGACCATTCACATCAAGAACGTCAAATTGTTGTGTTAAGAGTTTTGCTATACTAGATGAAAACCAAGTCTTCCATCTGTTGCTGTTCAAACTTGCTTCTCTTCATATGAACCTATTGTATAACTTCAAGCATATTTGTTTTACTATTACTATAAGAAACTTAATAACTTAGACTAATTTAAATCTAGCTATATTCTCAAAATCGGGTGCCCAAAGCGATGAACAAAATTGGAAGCAATAAACGGCAGAAGAAAATCGAACCTCAAGGGCGTGGTGGTAGCGCTTCGATTTGACTAGGGTTCTGGCGATGCTTCTGAACTGGGAGGGTGAAACATCGTTGCCTTCGTCCACCCAATTTTGAAGCACCGGCAATGGATTCTGCTTTGGGGATTTGAGCTTGCGCAAGAACGACACGTGCAACGTCGAAGCGCGTGAAGCAACTGTGCTACAAAGAGTTCGTGTCCCGACCACAAAACTGATGCAGTGAAATTTTCCGTGTTTAGAAGGTAAATGGTAATGAGGAAAGCTGAGAGCGAAGAAGGGGTTGCGCGTACCGTCTGACTCCGGCGGAGAGGGGGTGGTTCGCCATCACCGGGCAGATGAACGGACGGTGCTGATTCGTTCTATAGGAATCGATGGGTTTGCCCAAGTAATTTCCTTTTCCTTTCCATTTAATATAAATGTTAAACCAAAATAATGTTTTTGTCCTCAGGATACATTGATTTTAAAAATGTTTATTGTTAAAACTGTTTTATTAACCGAAGTGAAACATTTTTAATGAAATTTATGGAATAAATATGTTATAAATATTTTAATGATTATTATCATGTGTTCATAGTTTTATTTGTTCTCATAATTATAAACAAAATACTTAATTTCATAGTTAAAAATGAAAATACAGATAGCTAGTGTACTTTTAATAAATAGAAATGTATTCTTTAATTACAAAACAAATGAAATATACTTAATGCCAAAAATCTTATATTTATTATTTAAAGGGTTAAATATGTTTTTAGTCCCTAAACTATTGGCCGTTTCTGGTTTTCGTCCCTCTTCCAAAGTAAGGTACGATTTGGTCCTCATTATTTAGAAAAACGTTCGTTTTAGTCCTCAAAATTTTGTTTTTAGTCCTCGTTTTAGTCCTCAAAACGTTCGTTTTTTCGACTAAAACGAACGTTTTTTAAAGATTGAGGACCAAATCGTACCTTAGTTTGGAAGAGGGACGAAAATCAGAAACGGTCAATAGTTTAGGGACTAAAAACATATTTAACCCTTATTTAAAATTATGTTTAAATATAATAAATTGTTTTATTATTAGTTTTCTGACATTAAACTAGATCACTTAATTAATATAAAAGTTTAAAAAAATGGATTTTGATTGATATTTTATTTTTTATTCTTTTCATGCAATTCATTATAAACATCTCTAATAATATTATTTTTAACCAACAAAGTTTACTGAGTCTTTCGTTTTTTAATAAAATTAAATATTATTTCAATTAAAATATAAATTCATCATATTAATTTTATAAATATAATTAGTATTCTTTAAAAAAAAAATATTTACTTAATACTCATTGAATATTTTATATTCATATTCATAAAAGATTGAAGGGATATGCTACTATAAATAATAAATCTTATTTATACCATAGAAAACATTTAAGTCATAGTTATAATCTTATTATTTCTCTTCGTATCCACGTTTAAGATTATGATATTTTATTTTTTTATAAAACATTGTTTTCATGTAAGCAAGAGTATGTTATTTATGAGTAATAAAAAATAAATTTAATTCATATTAAAGTTGAACTTATTTAATAATTAATATATTTAATATGGTGTGTTTGTTTTGATTAGTGATGTGGATAATGAATAGTTTTTTAGTTACACTTAAATATTTTATATTTATTTGATATTATTCTTATTTATTTTTTATTTTTTTCTTTCTTTAAACAATACAAAAGTTTACACTTTTTTGATAATTTTATCCTTATAATCTGTATTAAATTAATGTAAAAATGTGTCGTAGTGTTATTACTTTTGAACACAATAGATGCATTTATTTTTTCTTTTCTTTTATTTTGCAATGGTATTATGTAATGTAACTCATTGTGAAGAAATAGAGGTGAAAATGGTTTAAATTATAGGATTTTGAGTTGTGGACCAATGGAAGATTTTGCATTAAATCTAGTTGTTTGAGTTACTAGCAAAGTCTTTAGTTGACTGTTTTTTTTAATGCTCCTTAGAAGTATAAATGTGTGTGTGTGTGTGATGATGGGACAATACGAGGAAACAATCATGCAAAAAGGGAATGGAAACTTTTCATGCTAATGAAATAGTCCAAAGTTATAGCATTACTTATATATACCCTAATGCCTTCAAATTCATATAAATTGGTGCATATCTAAATCAACATAAACTTGCTTTATTTAGTTCAAATCTTACATAAACTTTGTATATGATAATAACAACATAGTAATGATAGAAAAATGAATTAAAAAGATATTTTTGAAGTTATTCTTGTTAAATGAAAACATAATGATTTTTGTCAAATAAAAAAAATTATAATTATAAAAAAACTTTATAAACCCGTATTTGTTAATTTAAATTTATTACTATGACAAAAACTATTTTCGAATATCCAATTAAATCCTAACATATTCTTTTGTCTTTTAGGGTGTGTTCACATGAAGTGATTTTCCTGTTCACGAAGAATGGCCATGACTGATTTGCGAGATCTCTCGTGTTCACTTTAGCAGATATGCGAAGAAGAGAGAGCGAAGAATTGCGAGATACGTTCCTTTTTCTAACCCGCGGAAGTGCTCGGATTTGGAAGGAATTATTTCAAAATGTCATATTTAACCTTTGCCATTTCTGAAATGACCAAGCCAAATCCAAAGTAATACTTGTAATCTTGATACCAAATTTTATGTATTCGATTCAACTCGGTTCACCCAGAATCACCCCTCTCCACCACCTACCAGTCTCACCTTTCCCTCACGCTCCACCACTGTGAAAATTCCTCTCCACCTTTTCAGCACCACGTTCCACGTCACCTTACCTCCTTCTCTCCCTCCTTCAAAACCATGTCACCGTCACACCTTACTCCAAAGAGAAACACCCCATCATCACCATGCGTAATGTCTCATCAGCTCTCACGCCGAAAGCCACAACACCATTGCGAGTGAAGATGAAGATGGCAAACACAAGGTCCTCGAGCGACCAGCTTCAGGGGCTTCTGACTGCGAGCTTCTAGCTGCAGCGTGCGGCAACCGCGTGGCCCATCATCATGACCCACGACAAAGGGTGGCCAGAAAGGAGAAGATGTTAAATGATGGTATATGTTTTGAGGTTTCTGGATCATTGTTTGGAAACCATTAAAACAAAATGATGAAGAACACAGATGGAGAAAAATTGTTGTTTGCATGACTTTGTTATGCCACCTGCCTAGTTTTTTTACCAACATTGAAAAGGTAATAAAAAATAATAAGTTTTATTTTATATTTTAAATGCCTGCTATTATTAATTAATATTTCATTTATTAGGATGCTATTATTAATTAATACTTCATTTATTAGGATTAAGTGAATAATTCATTTTACTAAATTATTATTGAATTAATTTTTATAAATTATTTTTAATAATTATTTTTATTTTTTTTCTCTTAATAAAGATTTTTACAAATAAATATAACATAAACAAATATAATTTTATATCACCTTAATACCTAGGGACATTTCGGTAATCTTTAATTTCTACCAATTAAACAAATTTTTTAAAACTGTCATATCAATAAAATACTACACTAATTTTCACAAACTTTACCCCTAAATTCACTCTCAATTACCTTCAAATCCACTCAAATAAACACACAAAAAAATCACCCTCAAATCCCCTCAAATCCACTCAATCACTCTCCCCCAATCACTCTCTCCCAATTACCTTCAACTAAACACACCCTTAAAGTGTTATAGTAGTATGACAATTTGTGAGGGTCTAAATCTAAATTAAGATTATTTTTTTTATTTACTAATAAAATAATTTTATTCAAATTTTTTTGTTAGAATGTTTTTTTTATATAAAATTATCTATTAGATTGTTATAATTAATTTTATTTAATATAGTATGGCTAAAATGGTAATAACAAATTATTTTTGTTTTCTAAACAAAATTATGATTTATCGAAAAAAAATGTTATTAACTCATTAAATATACTTTTCTAGATAAAAAAATTAACAATTATTCATAATAATTTAATTAAGTTTTTATCTCAAACATAATTTACAATTAATTTAAAAGAAACATATTAGTATTAATTTTTGTTTGGAGTTTTTTATTCTTGAAGACCTAAAACAAAAATTTTACTTACCTAACCTTAAGTCGATCAAGTACAGCTATTATAATTTCTTTGTAGATGATCTAATCATAAGGAAAGATATTTTCTTTAAGAAAAAGCAACTGCAAAAAGACCACTGAAGACCACTGAAGAGTTTAAGAATGTCAAATATATACGACGCGTGATTTTATCATATCATCACCTTTTTCATTAACCTACGGACAAAAAAGCACGATGACTTTTCTTAGCTCGGTGACGATAGTTATTTTGATATTAATCTTAATTTATTGATAAGCTAAAGTCGGATCCAAATCAAAAAGTACAATAATCAACCATTATATATATATATTATAGTAAAACATCATACCTTAACTTTTACTATAAAGATAGTCAAATTGATTCGAATGAAACTTTTGAGCAGGAATAAATGGGTTGATGGAGTAGGGACGTTAAAGTCTGGTTGAATAAAAAATTGCTAATATAGTGTTACATTTCATCAGTCAAGAGATCTATCAGTTTAAATATTTTTTTTCTATTTTCTGAAATATTTTTTAAAGACAAATCGTGTAATAGAATTCCATGCTCTGTATAAACAATAATTGATGTGAGTATGTCCGTCGGCATACTTGGAATTCGAATACATAGATTCTTATCTAGTATTGCCTTATATGTGACCATACTTTTTATGAACAACACCACAACCAAACATAGTAGAAAAATCTATACTACCATAATGTTCTCCGAGATTTCACAACAACCAATAACATAAACAGTACATTCTCATTTTTCAATCACTCCCTTTTCAGGCATCTCTGTTGCTTCCATGTCGCTGCTCTTCTTTTTCTTCATCTTCTTCTCATGTTTAATCTCCCCATAGAAGTAAGACACCATGCCCCAGAGCGACAGAAACAGAGAAACACCCTTCTCAGCTTGAAACTTCTCTTTGTAGAAAATAACCGCCAACACTTCCGTTACGGGTAGCAGCACCGCAATCAAAATACCAGAAAACAAAGACGACGCACAGAAAATAACCCCAATAGCTCCCAAGAAAAAAGCTTGCCATATAATTGCACTCCCCACCAACACAACGTAATAATTAACTTCCCCGTGCTTGAATGTTTTAGCTTCTCTCGGAATCACCTGCCATAAATTCAGATGATTAATAACAAAATTAACTATTTTTACGGCTAATACGTTGTTAAGTATACCTTAAAGTCGTTGTTAATGATCATGCCGATGAGGCAAAAGAGAGTTGCGGAGAAGCACATCACGAACTGAATCTCCATGACAAGGGAATAGGTAATGGGTTGTTTGGTTTTTTTGTACACCAACTCCACCATGGGTAACACGAAGCCGTACAATGCTGCAGCGATTACTGTCATCACGAACCCCATCACGTAGGCCTTCACGGACTCGCCGGGGGGGCGGTCTCCGCTGCTGTGGAGCGCCAGAACGCCGGCGCCGACTGTAAGCAAAACTACTGCGTTCACGGAGTACGAGGTGAACTTCTGGCGCACCAGCAGGAACGCGAACAGGGCGGTGAAGCCGAGTTGTGTGGCGATGATGAGTGATGACGTGGACACGGGGAGGCGCGCCACGCCGTAGGCGTAGAGATAGTCGTCGAGGCCGGTGAGGACTCCGATGAAGACGGAGGCCGCGAGGAGAGGGGGTTTCATCGAGACCGGACTGGGTTTAGCGGTCCCCGCCGCTACCGCCGCTGCGCGGCGGCGGAAGTAAGAGACGGCGAGGGGGAGTAGCATGAAGGGGAAGCCGGCTGTTTCGAGGAAGCTGGAAAGCCAGACACGGTTGCCGCCACGGAGGAAGTAGAGACGCATAACGAGGGGGCCGCCGGCGGTTCCGACGGCGAGTAAGAGACAGTTTATTATGAGAAGAATCCGTTTCATGGTTCTGTTTTTCTCTCCTTCGCTTCCTTCGGCCATATCTGCAGTTCTAACTCTTCTTCTTTCTCTTCTCTACTGTTGCCAATGCCAGAACATCTCCAACAATGTTGAATGCTGATCGATATGTTTGAGGGTTTTATATTGAATAATTTTTGTGTTTTTAATAAAATTAGTATTTTTCTTAAATACCCATTTTTGTTTTTCTTTTCTTTTCTGGACAAGTACGTACAACTACTAGAATAAATACTAGGTGTCTAAATTATGGATCTGAATCTTCATATTCTATGTTATCTGTTTATTTGGTTTTTTCTGTGGTTCTGCTTTTACACTGCATTCATTCGCCAGATTAAATTGGATATAAACTATTTTTTGTTTGTAAAAAATGTTAGCAGATAAACACTAAGTATTATATATAAAATAAAAAATGTATTATATATATATATTGATAATTTATAAGAGAATGACTATGTTAGTGAGTACATTAATATAATTTTACATATAATAATCTATTCAACAATTTCTTTATGTATAACTATATTAAATTGAGACACTAGATTATATATTCAATGGTTACCAATACTAATAGATAAAAAGTGAGTTGAGTTTAATTGAAAACTAAAATGTGATTTATTTTTGTTTGTTGTTTGGCAATTGGCGACCTATTGTGTTTGATGACAGCTGCTGTAACCCTGTTATGCACATTGACAGAATGTGACAAAAAGAAGGGAAATAACGATATTTTGACATACATTATACTTATTTCATGCATATTGTAATAAAAAAAATTATACTTGTAAAGAAAAAAAAAGAATGTAATGAAAAATAATGTTAAAAATGAGTGTGAAAAAAATTGTCTCAAATACTATGGTTTGTTTGGTATCTGTTGGATCTACTTCGTCCACCAGACAGGTTTTGCAAAGCCGGACAATTGAATTAGAGAAAATAAATTAGGCATATTGACTTTTATGATAAATAAATGGAAAATGCAATTTATAAACAACTAGTCTTCTGACCCCGCATACGCACATGCTTTTTGTTGCTTATATGTGTTTTTTTTAATAATAATATATTTGAAAGATAATATATATGTATAAATGAGTTTATAAGTATAGGTAGATGTGAATGTTATAATTGTATATAGTATGTAGGTATGTTATTAAAATGGATTTATAATTTTGTAAAGGAATAACTAAATTATTATCTAGTAACATTTAATAAATTATTAATTGTAAATAATGAGAGAAATGAATGTTGTTTGATATTTCTTTTTATGTATAAGGCTTTTTGAATTAAACTATATTATTATAAGTTGGAAGTAATAATTCTTAGAAAATTTAATAAAAAAAACCAATGTAATTCATATTCATTTATGAATTTTTTGTTTTCACTTAAGAAATTAACAGAATAAATGGAAGCTAATGGCTGAAATTTGAGTTGACCTGATATTATGTATTATGTACGTAATTTTAGCTTGAAATATAATTAAAATTCACAATGATATGATAAATGTATAATATTTGCAATTTTTTATATCTTATGTGTTAATAGTAAGAAATCATATTGTCTTAATATATATATATATATATATATATATATATATATATAGATAGATAGGTTTGCTAATGTAAGTAAGTTTTTTTTAGTTAGTACATTTTAGCAAAGTTTATCAAGTTTTAGTAGATAAAAGAATCTTCATATATTATAGATATTAAGTTTTAAGGTCAATGATATTTAAATAATTTTTATTTTCAAAAATTAAAAGAAAAAACTCAAACCTTTACTCACCTCTCTCATCGCTCATTTCTCTCAACTCTTTCTCTCTCACTCCAGCCTTAACCTTCTCGCTGTCATTCCTACATTATTCTCATAATATCGTTATTTATCATGCACTTATTTACATAAAGAATAAATGATAGTTATTTTTTTTATTATACCTTCATTAATCACAATCATCCATGTATGTCAAACATTCATCACAATCATCATGTATGTCAAATATGTTAGCTTTTAAGATTGGATAACAATTAAAGTTTATGTTTTCGTTACATATGCCTATGGAACTCTAAAGCAATTATTCTTTTTGTGCTGTAATATTTTGTAAAGACAACATTTGTTGGTCTGAATTATAGCGACATGAAGACATGTGTCCTTTGCTATTGTGCTACCAAATTCTGATTAGATGTTATCTATTTCATCTAACTTCCCAAAATATTTCATATCTTATCAAATTGAAATTTGGACTTTTGTTTGAATTACGTCACACGAACTTGTGTTTCTTTTTCTGCAAGTTTCAAACCTACAAAGGACAACTAAGGTGTTGTTTTAATGGCATTATGTGGTTTTTGGTTGTAATATCATCAAATAAAGGAAGTCACAGATAAGGTGGCCACATAATAGTCATAATAGTCAAACTTTCCTGAAGATAAACTATTGCTTCTAAAATTAAAAACGAAATTTAATAATAATGAGAAGGGAAAAGATATAACATGACCCTCTAATAAAAAATTAACATCAACACGATCAATTATTTTGTTATTAAAGTGACAAACAGTAAGAGCAACAAATTGCGGTGTGGTAGATGACCTTATGTGGGTGAGAGTGAGGATGAAGATGAGAGAGAAACAAATTGGATAAGGGAGGGAGGTGGGTTAAGGTTAGGTGAGTGTTTCTCATTTTTTTATTTTTTTTATTTTAAATTAAAAATAAAAATTATTAAAATACCCTTGTGTTTAAAGTATGTTTTTTTTATAAATGAGAATTTTTTTGTCTATTGAAACTTGATACACTTTGCTAAAATATACCAACGAAAAAAAGAGCTTACATACTTAGCAAACCCCCTCTCTCTCTCTCTCTCTATATATATATATATATATATCATTAATATTGTTATTTTAAAAATAAATAACCATAATAATAAATAAATATAAAAGAACTAAAAATAAGTTCGAGTTTTTGAAAATTTTTATACCATATAACTATATGTTAACGAAGACTATTCCCCCAACGTTACCAAATAAAGTGATCATGTAAAAGAAACAAACAAAACATAAAAAACACAAAAGAAACGACAAGGTAAGCTAGCATGCAAAATGAATTATTCTAAAATGTTTAAATCATATCAATTATAATCTAAGTATGTATAAAATACAATAACCTATATATATTCACACAAATAGTTGACACTAAACTCAATTATCTAGATATATACTTTTGACATTGAGTTTCACTGTAGATGTATATAGTTAACAACGGATCGAGTCGAGCAAATATGTTTTATTTCATTTAGACCATCCAGCCACTCCCTATAATCTAATGTCGTCCGGATGTTAGATACATTTACTATTTCATTTCTCTATATATTATTAGTATTCTCAAGGTTTAATTAGGCTAATTTTTTTAATTTTGAATTTTTATAAATATTATATATATATATATATATATTATAATATTAATATTAATATTATTGTTTATAACTAAAGATATGCATCTAAGTATTTGAAACATAAATGAGAGATTTTAACAGAAGAGATATGTAAGTTTGACTCATATCACACAAATGATTATCTCTCTCTATATATTCTTTTAACATCTTAAATATTATAAATTTTTTAACACTTTCTTTTCTCTTCCACGCTACTCCTATCTCTTTTATTAATATTTTCTATACAATATTAAATACAATTCGATTTGGATGCGTTGAGGTGCATACGCAATACAATCTGTACCGTTATATATAGATATCATTTTTCTCATTTCTTTTAACATTTCTCTAATTTCTTTTTAACATAACTTAGATGCAAATTCGTGTGCGGTATTATGTTTAATCTATTATTATAATATTTATTATTTTACTCTTTCTACGTCCACAAAAGGTGCATGATACAGTCAGCTTTATGATAAAAGGTCAATACCTAATAGTCATGAGGAGATAGAAAAAAATGTTATTCAAAGTAGTTATCATGGCTTATTGATGGATATATATATATATATATATATATTCTGAAATAAAGTAAATGATATTTTTCATATATTCTAAATATAATATTTTGTAAATTTTTTTTTGAACTTCTTGTATTTGTTTATAAATGAAAATACTTAAAAAAATATATAGAATTTATTAAAAAAAAAATCTCGGGATGACAACAGGTCGAGTCGAGCACGGATAGTACTTACCCGCAACTCGATTCGAAAAAAAAAATTCACTTGCTACCTGCACGGATACCCGCTTAAAGATATCTGTGGATATTTTAAAACCTGCGGATACCCGTAGTGTAACATCCCAAAAATATAGTATAAAACCATATACGAGAGTAATCACATATTAACAATACTACAGATCAGTTCAACACTAAGTAAGATAACAATTACGGCCGAACGACCTTACATAACATCAGGAAATTTAAAATCGTACGCTAGCTATCACTAGACCAAACGGTGTACAAAATAAACTATTATCGAACGGTCTTACAAAAGATAAAGCTAACAACAAACCGAACGTTCCTAAGGTTCGACCTTCACTTATGTTGCATCTTCCAATACTTCTTCCAGCAGCTCTTCTCCTTCTGCTCACATCCACATGGATGATCATTGCAACAGGACAAAGACAGGACGCACAACACAAACAAAAAGGATAAACACGGTAAGCTTATGTAATTGAATTTATTCAATAGCAACATACAACAATCATACTTAAACCAACAACACTCAAATCATCATTCCTACATCAAGGCATGCAGTTAACGACCACTTGACTCTGACTGTCCGGACTGTATGAATCTTGTGTAGCTACGACGTTCGTGCATCCGGGTGATGTAGTAAATGAGATACCCTCAACAGCTGCCACCCGAGGTTGATCCGTTCCATCCAAGTTAACCTTATGGACTAGGACATCCTGTCATTCCCACACATGACTTACTCCTCTCTACATGAGAACGAGTAATCATGGAATATCAGGATGAATGCCCGCTAAGCTTTGCCCACATTCATACTTTACAAATCAATAACTACTTTCTGAGATATTCCTCCCTGGAATACTCGTTCATAATCAAACTATTTCATTCATATCACATTTCAAATTCTCTCATACTTTATCATCCATATATTCAAATGAAATAAGATT